ATGAAATAACGTAAAATATTTTTATCGCAACATATTATACATCTAGGTTTAAAATTGAATCGAAATCTAAATTATACAGAAACATTTATTAATCGCTGAGAAGATCGCAATAATAAAAGAAACATTGATTGATTTCAATAAAACGTAAGAAGATTATATACTGCTACCTGCCAAGCTGTAAGACATGGAGTACAGAGAAGATGACCGCAAGGTTCTATCCTTACATCCTTGTCATGCTCGGCGCAGATCTTACACAATTGAAATGTGCTACCCATTTCGCAGTATAATTCATATTGTTCCGCCGTTACTTTAATATGCTCTTCTGGCGTTGGTTGCACTGCCCATGTCAAGTCTGGATTTATATTTCGACCATCCGGATATAAGTAGCTAGAAATCGATCTTCGAATATGTATTCGTGAAATCTTTTTGGATGTAAACCTGGACAGGTAAACACATAAACTAAGTCGGTACTCAACGGTATACTCACAAGCCTTCCCGGTAGCCGTCCAATAACGCTTGGCATAGACTCTTGTTGTGTGGTATAGTTTGTAAAATATCACCGTCAGACGTGACATAACCAATTGCCCATTGTCCCAGCCTCGTACAACTTAACCGAAATACATAGCTTCCAGGCTTGGTAATGCAATATTTTTGCAAACGGGCTTTCACTTCATCGTACGTAAGGAAAGCCACGTAGCCAGGATGCGTTACAGCCAGAATTTTCCAGTTGCGTAGAAGAGTTGACCACGGTTGAAACAGCCTTGAAAGTCGTATAACATGTACAGATATATAACATGTATATCCAACATATATAAGAATGATCCGGAATCATCGTGACGGAAGCTTGATAAAGTTAATTAGTTGTCTATTTCTTAATATTTACCTCGTGAATACATCGAATTCAAAGTTGGAGATATAATCATTACACGTCAAATCTATCGTGGATTTTAGGGCCATTGCTTGCAATCCCGTGCTGATCGGATGAACCTGATTCAATTCGTGTCTGAACACCTTCCACGGTACTAATGTACTGAAAAGAAATTAATGAAAGATAAAAAATTATTCTTTTTTTTTAGTGTTGAATCATCTATATAAATAATTTTTAAATGTTAAAAATCTTAAAGTAATGTTTAATATTATTTTTTATTTTAAATTGGTTTATATATATATATATATATATATATAGAATTGCTGCTAAAAGTTTATTATATTTGTTAAAAACAGAATCAGAAATAAAATTTCAATAAAATTGGAATAAAACTATACTATATGCAAAGTATACTCTCGCATTCATTTTATAAGACTCTTTTCAGAGAAATTGGATTTTTTTTTAGTTTTAATGTGAAAAACGGAAAAAAAGATAAATTTTTTATATGTATTTTAATAGTATGTACAACTATAAGGATAATTTGAAAAGTTTTGAGCCTCAACATGAAGATAGCATTACAAAACCATTCCGATACCACAGTGATTACAGTTAAGCGTCTTTTGTCTGTAAAATTCTCTTCTTAATACTCAGGTTTAGAAACATATTAAGCATTTAGATATCTCTGAATATCAATTCGATTCATAAGAACCTTCTTACTTTTCTTTTTGTAATTAGAGTAAATTTTTTTAGCGCAATCTTCATGTATTATCTATGTAATTACTGTAAAATGACTGTATTTACCTTATGTGTCAAGCCAATAAACCAAATTATCTATCTATCTGGTACCACAGTATATACAATAGCGCAACTGATTTTATGTTGGCTAAAATAAATAAGTTGCCCCGTCTCTTTTCCTCCTTTTTTTTATTACTCTCTCTCTCTTTCTCTATTTAATGTCTCTATTTAAATAAGAATTTCAATGTTCCATTTAAACATTTGTCTTTCAAGCATACATGGTTCAGAGTAGAAATTTAGAGGGAAATGTATTACGTGTATTGTCCATTTAAAATGTTGTGTAAGAAATCTCGAGAGATTGGTCTAATTTTTGTGAAAAAGTAACAAAGTGAAAAAGTAACATAGAAAACCGAGCAAGAAAGATTTCTTTTTATTTATTGTATTTTAAACTTATTTTTGGGACATATATGTATATAAATTTCTTTTATATCAGCTTTCTCATAATATTTTCAGATATATAATTTTAGATATAATTACATAATATTTTTTTATACAAATATACATTTTTAAGTTAATTTAATATCTTTCCTAATTTTTCTATATTTTTTCTTTATTTTTCAATATATTTACAATTTATTTTTATTAATTTTCATAAAGTTTCAATTATTTCATTGCAATATTAGGTTTATTCTCATCGCATGCTCCAATATGCTCCA